AATTTGTCTGGTGTTAGGGCCTAATTTGTTTGTCTCAGTGTTAGGGCCTAATTTGTTTGTCTGGTGTTATGGTCTAATTTGTTTGTCTGGTGTTAGGGCCTAATTTGTTTGTCTGGTGTTAGGGCCTAATTTGTTTGTCTCAGTGTTAGGGCCTAATTTGTTTGTCTGGTGTTAGGGCCTAATTTGTTTGTCTTGTGTTAGGGCCTAATTTGTTTGTCTGGTGTTAGGGCCTAATTTGTTTGTCTCAGTGTTAGGGCCTAATTTGTTTGTCTGGTGTTAGGGCCTAATTTGTTTGTCTGGTGTTAGGGCCTAATTTGATTGTCTCAGTGTTAGGGCCTAATTTGTTTGTCTGGTGTTAGGGCCTAATTTGTTTGTCTCAGTGTTAGGGCCTAATTTGTTTGTCTGGTGTTAGGGCCTAATTTGTTTGTCTTGTGTTAGGGCCTAATTTGTTTGTCTCAGTGTTAGGGCCTAATTTGTTTGTCTCAGTGTTAGGGCCTAATTTGTTTGTCTGTTGTTAGGGCCTAATTTGTTTGTCTGGTGTTAGGGCCTAATTTGTTTGTCTGGTGTTAGGGCCTAATTTGTCTGGTGTTAGGGCCTAATTTGTTTGTCTGGTGTTAGGGCCTAATTTGTTTGTCTGGTGTTAGGGCCTAATTTGTTTGTCTGGTGTTAGGGCCTAATTTGTTTGTCTGGTGTTAGGGCCTAATTTGTTTGTCTGGTGTTATGGTCTAATTTGTTTGTCTGGTGTTAGGGCCTAATTTGTTTGTCTGGTGTTAGGGCCTAATTTGTTTGTCTGGTGTTAGGGCCTAATTTGTTTGTCTGGTGTTAGGGCCTAATTTGTCTGGTGTTAGGGTCTAATTTGTTTGTCTGGTGTTAGGGCCTAATTTGTTTGTCTGGTGTTAGGGCCTAATTTGTTTGTCTGGTGTTAGGGCCTAATTTGTTTGTCTCAGTGTTAGGGCCTAATTTGTTTGTCTGGTGTTAGGGCCTAATTTGTTTGTCTGGTGTTAGGGCCTAATTTGTTTGTCTTGTGTTAGGGCCTAATTTGTTTGTCTCAGTGTTAGGGCCTAATTTGTTTGTCTGGTGTTAGGGCCTAATTTGTTTGTCTGGTGTTAGGGCCTAATTTGTTTGTCTGGTGTTAGGGCCTAATTTGATTGTCTCAGTGTTAGGGCCTAATTTGTTTGTCTGGTGTTAGGGCCTAATTTGTTTGTCTGGTGTTAGGGCCTAATTTGTCTGGTGTTAGGGTCTAATTTGTTTGTCTGGTGTTAGGGCCTAATTTGTTTGTCTGGTGTTAGGGCCTAATTTGTTTGTCTGGTGTTATGGTCTAATTTGTTTGTCTGGTGTTAGGGCCTAATTTGTTTGTCTCAGTGTTAGGGCCTAATTTGTTTGTCTGGTGTTAGGGCCTAATTTGTTTGTCTGGTGTTAGGGCCTAATTTGTCTGGTGTTAGGGTCTAATTTGTTTGTCTGGTGTTAGGGCCTAATTTGTTTGTCTGGTGTTAGGGCCTAATTTGTTTGTCTCAGTGTTAGGGCCTAATTTGTTTGTCTGGTGTTAGGGCCTAATTTGTTTGTCTGGTGTTAGGGCCTAATTTGTTTGTCTGGTGTTATGGTCTAATTTGTTTGTCTGGTGTTAGGGCCTAATTTGTTTGTCTGGTGTTAGGGCCTAATTTGTTTGTCTGGTGTTAGGGCCTAATTTGTTTGTCTGGTGTTAGGGTCTAATTTGTTTGTCTGGTGTTAGGGCCTAATTTGTTTGTCTTGTGTTAGGGCCTAATTTGTTTGTCTGGTGTTAGGGCCTAATTTGTTTGTCTCAGTGTTAGGGCCTAGTTTATTTGTCTGGTGTTAGGGCCTAATTTGTTTGTCTGGTGTTAGGGCCTAATCTGTTTGTCTGGTGTTAGGGCCTAATTTGTTTGTCTGGTGTTAGGGCCTAATTTGTTTGTCTGGTGTTAGGGCCTAATTTGTTTGTCTGGTGTTAGGGCCTAATTTGTTTGTCTCAGTGTTAGGGCCTAGTTTATTTGTCTGGTGTTAGGGCCTAATTTGTTTGTCTGGTGTTAGGGCCTAATCTGTTTGTCTGGTGTTAGGGCCTAATTTGTTTGTCTGGTGTTAGGGCCTAATTTGTTTGTCTGGTGTTAGGGCCTAATTTGTCTGGTGTTAGGGTCTAATTTGTTTGTCTGGTGTTAGGGCCTAATTTGTTTGTCTGGTGTTAGGGCCTAATTTGTTTGTCTGGTGTTAGGGCCTAATTTGTTTGTCTCAGTGTTAGGGCCTAATTTGTTTGTCTGGTGTTAGGGCCTAATTTGTTTGTCTGGTGTTAGGGCCTAATTTGTTTGTCTTGTGTTAGGGCCTAATTTGTTTGTCTCAGTGTTAGGGCCTAATTTGTTTGTCTGGTGTTAGGGCCTAATTTGTTTGTCTGGTGTTAGGGCCTAATTTGTTTGTCTGGTGTTAGGGCCTAATTTGATTGTCTCAGTGTTAGGGCCTAATTTGTTTGTCTGGTGTTAGGGCCTAATTTGTTTGTCTGGTGTTAGGGCCTAATTTGTCTGGTGTTAGGGTCTAATTTGTTTGTCTGGTGTTAGGGCCTAATTTGTTTGTCTGGTGTTAGGGCCTAATTTGTTTGTCTGGTGTTATGGTCTAATTTGTTTGTCTGGTGTTAGGGCCTAATTTGTTTGTCTGGTGTTAGGGCCTAATTTGTTTGTCTGGTGTTAGGGTCTAATTTGTTTGTCTGGTGTTAGGGTCTAATTTGTTTGTCTGGTGTTAGGGCCTAATTTGATTGTCTCAGTGTTAGGGCCTAATTTGTCTGGTGTTAGGGCCTAATTTGTTTGTCTCAGTGTTAGGGCCTAATTTGTTTGTCTGGTGTTATGGTCTAATTTGTTTGTCTGGTGTTAGGGCCTAATTTGTTTGTCTGGTGTTAGGGCCTAATTTGTTTGTCTCAGTGTTAGGGCCTAATTTGTTTGTCTGGTGTTAGGGCCTAATTTGTTTGTCTTGTGTTAGGGCCTAATTTGTTTGTCTGGTGTTAGGGCCTAATTTGTTTGTCTCAGTGTTAGGGCCTAATTTGTTTGTCTGGTGTTAGGGCCTAATTTGTTTGTCTGGTGTTAGGGCCTAATTTGATTGTCTCAGTGTTAGGGCCTAATTTGTTTGTCTGGTGTTAGGGCCTAATTTGTTTGTCTCAGTGTTAGGGCCTAATTTGTTTGTCTGGTGTTAGGGCCTAATTTGTTTGTCTTGTGTTAGGGCCTAATTTGTTTGTCTCAGTGTTAGGGCCTAATTTGTTTGTCTGTTGTTAGGGCCTAATTTGTTTGTCTGGTGTTAGGGCCTAATTTGTTTGTCTGGTGTTAGGGCCTAATTTGTCTGGTGTTAGGGCCTAATTTGTCTGGTGTTAGGGCCTAATTTGTTTGTCTGGTGTTAGGGCCTAATTTGTTTGTCTGGTGTTAGGGCCTAATTTGTTTGTCTGGTGTTAGGGCCTAATTTGTTTGTCTGGTGTTATGGTCTAATTTGTTTGTCTGGTGTTAGGGCCTAATTTGTTTGTCTGGTGTTAGGGCCTAATTTGTTTGTCTGGTGTTAGGGCCTAATTTGTTTGTCTGGTGTTAGGGCCTAATTTGTTTGTCTGGTGTTAGGGCCTAATTTGTTTGTCTCAGTGTTAGGGCCTAATTTGTTTGTCTTGTGTTAGGGCCTAATTTGTTTGTCTGGTGTTAGGGCCTAATTTGTTTGTCTGGTGTTAGGGCCTAATTTGTTTGTCTGGTGTTAGGGCCTAATTTGTTTGTCTGGTGTTAGGGCCTAATTTGTTTGTCTGGTGTTAGGGCCTAATTTGTTTGTCTGGTGTTAGGGCCTAATTTGTTTGTCTGGTGTTAGGGCCTAATTTGTTTGTCTGGTGTTATGGTCTAATTTGTTTGTCTGGTGTTAGGGCCTAATTTGTTTGTCTGGTGTTAGGGCCTAATTTGTTTGTCTCAGTGTTAGGGCCTAATTTGTTTGTCTGGTGTTAGGGCCTAATTTGTTTGTCTTGTGTTAGGGCCTAATTTGTTTGTCTGGTGTTAGGGCCTAATTTGTTTGTCTCAGTGTTAGGGCCTAATTTGTTTGTCTGGTGTTAGGGCCTAATTTGTTTGTCTGGTGTTCGGGCCTAATTTGTTTGTCTGGTTTTAGGGCCTAATTTGTTTGTCTGGTGTTATGGTCTAATTTGTTTGTCTGGTGTTAGGGCCTAATTTGTTTGTCTGGTGTTAGGGCCTAATTTGTTTGTCTGGTGTTAGGGCCTAATTTGTTTGTCTCAGTGTTAGGGCCTAATTTGTTTGTCTGGTGTTAGGGCCTAATTTGTTTGTCTCAGTGTTAGGGCCTAATTTGTTTGTCTTGTGTTAGGGCCTAATTTGTTTGTCTGGTGTTAGGGCCTAATTTGTTTGTCTCAGTGTTAGGGCCTAATTTGTTTGTCTGGTGTTAGGGCCTAATTTGTTTGTCTGGTGTTAGGGCCTAATTTGTTTGTCTGGTGTTATGGTCTAATTTGTTTGTCTGGTGTTAGGGCCTAATTTGTCTGGTGTTAGGGCCTAATTTGTTTGTCTGGTGTTAGGGCCTAATTTGTTTGTCTGGTGTTAGGGCCTAATTTGTTTGTCTAGTGTTAGGGCCTAATTTGTTTGTCTGGTGTTATGGTCTAATTTGTTTGTCTGGTGTTAGGGCCTAATTTGTTTGTCTGGTGTTAGGGCCTAATTTGTTTGTCTGGTGTTAGGGCCTAATTTGTTTGTCTGGTGTTAGGGCCTAATTTGTTTTGTGTTAGGGCCTAATTTGTTTGTCTGGTGTTAGGGCCTAATTTGTTTGTCTCAGTGTTAGGGCCTAATTTGTTTGTCTAGTGTTAGGGCCTAATTTGTTTGTCTGGTGTTAGGGCCTAATTTGTTTGTCTGGTGTTAGGGCCTAATTTGTTTTGTGTTATGGCCTAATTTGTTTTGTGTTAGGGCCTAATTTGTTTTGTGTTAGGGCCTAATTTGTTTTGTGTTAGGGCCTAATTTGTTTGTCTTTTAGCCTAATTGCTTGTTTGTTTTCAGACGGTCAAGTGTTATTTTGAGGATGGCTGCCTTGACACCCATGTTTACCTGCTTGAGAACCTGCGTGCAGGACATCAGCTGTGTGGACCCTGCATAATCATTGATCAAAACAGGTAGACCATATTGTTACAGGTAGATCTACAGTTACAGGTAGACCATAGACCATATAGTTACAGGTAGATCTATAGTTACAGGTAGACCATAGACCATATAGTTACAGGTAGACCATAGACCATATAGTTACAGGTAGACCATATAGTTACAGGTAGACCATATAGTTACAGGTAGACCATACAGTTACAGGTAGACCATACAGTTACAGGTAGACCATACAGTTACAGGTAGATTTATAGTTACAAGTAGACCATAGACCATATAGTTACAGGTAGACCATAGACCATATAGTTACAGGTAGACCATAGACCATATAGTTACAGGTAGATTTATAGTTACAGGTAGACTATATGGTTACAGATAGACCATATAGTTACATGTAGATCTATAGTTACATGTAGCCTGTATATTGCCATGTCAAAGCTAGATATTGACACATCACGCCACTATGTTGTAGCACCATCTTGGTGGAGCCTGACTGCACAGCAGAGATCAGTTCCCATGGTGACGTCAGGATCAAAGTTCAAAGCTCCAACAAAAAAGTGTTTGGAACAGATTTGAATGCCATCCAGCTGTCAATCTTTAGTCACAGATTCATGAGCACAGCCGAGCAGATGGGACGGTAAGGCACTTTTTTTTTTCATTGGGGGAAGTATGTGGTTTTTAATAAATTTTAAATAGGACACTAATATGTTGAATTATAAAACTTTCTTGCAGTGTACTTCAAAGAACATCTATATCAACCAACATTAAGGTAATCTTGTGCATGTAGAGAATTTTTGTTTTGAAACTTTTTTTAATGTTTGTTACCTGTAGTTTGACATTGTGTGAGGTTGCTGTGACTGTTTACCTGATGTTTCCCCCCAGGAACGTTTAGACTTTAGCTGTGCCATGTTTGACATTGTGTGAGGTTGCTGTGACTGTTTATCTGATGTTTCCCCCCAGGAACGTTTAGACTTTAGCTGTGCCATGTTTGACATTGTGTGAGGTTGCTGTGACTGTTTATCTGATGTTTCCCCAGGAACGTTTAGACTTTAGCTGTGCCATGTTTGACATTGTGTGAGGTTGCTGTGACTGTTTACCTGATGTTTCCCCAGGAACGTTTAGACTTCAGTTGTGCCATGTTTGACATTGTGTGAGGTTGCTGTGACTGTTTACCTGATGTTTTCCACAGGAACGTTTAGACTTTAGTTGTGCCATGTTTGACATTGTGTGAGGTTGCTGTGACTGTTTATCTGATGTTTCCCCAGGAACGTTTAGACTTTAGCTGTGCCATGTTTGACATTGTGTGAGGTTGCTGTGACTGTTTATCTGATGTTTCCCCAGGAACGTTTAGACTTTAGTTGTGCCATGTTTGACATTGTGTGAGGTTGCTGTGACTGTTTATCTGATGTTTCCCCCCAGGAACGTTTAGACTTTAGCTGTGCCATGTTTGACATTGTGTGAGGTTGCTGTGACTGTTTATCTGATGTTTCCCCCCAGGAACGTTTAGACTTTAGCTGTGCCATGTTTGACATTGTGTGAGGTTGCTGTGACTGTTTATCTGATGTTTCCCCAGGAACGTTTAGACTTTAGTTGTGCCATGTTTGACATTGTGTGAGGTTGCTGTGACTGTTTATCTGATGTTTCCCCAGGAACGTTTAGACTTTAGCTGTGCCATGTTTGGACCAGATGGGGGTCTGGTGGCCAATGCTCCTCACATTCCAGTCCATTTAGGGGCCATGCAGGAAACTGTGCAATATCAGGTACGCAGCATTGAGTCCGTTAGGCCACGTATTGTGCGTATTTACTCCCATCACATATATTCATGGTTTTTTTGTAAAGAGGTAATTACACTCACAACATCCGCCATATATGTGGTTTACTGATTGGGGGGGGGGGGGGTAATATTACACTTATGACAAATGCCATATATGTGGTTTACTTTAGGGGGGGGGAGGTAATTACACTTACGACATACACCCTACATGTGGTTTACTGTAGGGAGATAATTACATTCACAACATACGCCATATATGTGGTTTAATGTAGGGGGGTAATTACATTTACAACATATGCCATATATGTTTATTGCTAGTGAAGTTACCATGAAATATTTGCCAGATGAAAACATTAGGAGACCAGTTCAGGGATGGTGATGTCATACTAAGTAACCACCCAGAGGCTGGCGGAAGTCACCTGCCTGACCTGACTGTCATCACACCTGTAAGCCTATTCTAAAAATAGATTTGTTTTAATCACCTCCAATCACTTAGATAAAAGTAAACCTCACCTAACACCTATAAGCCCATTCTAAAAATAGATTTGTTTTAATCACCTCCAATCACTTAGATAAAAGTAAACCTCACCTAACACCTATAAGCCCATTCTAAAAATAGATTTGTTTTAATCACCTCCAATCACTTAGAGAAAAGTAAACCTCACCTAACACCTATAAGCCCATTCTAAAAATAGATTTGTTTTCAAATCACTTTGATAAAAATAAAACCTCACCTCAAATATTGTATCACCAGGTGTTCTATCAAGGCCAGCCAAAACCAGTATTCTTTGTTGCCAGTAGAGGTCACCACGCAGACATTGGGGGGATAACTCCTGGCTCAATGCCACCTCACTCGACCTCAATTTACCAAGAGGGGGCTGTGTTCAAGTCTTTCAAGCTAGTAGAGGAAGGCCAGTTTAAAGAGAAGGGTGAAAACATTTTGCCTGTCTATACATAGTTCATGCTAACTTGAGCCATTTCTTACTCAAGTTTACTGTTGTTTAAAACAAAATATACTATTCATTTCATCATTTCTTGCTGCACCTTTAAGAAATGTTAGCCAATGTATATGATAGTTGTTTCCCTTTGACCATGCCAGAGCTGATTGAAGCCTTCAATGCCCCATCCAAGTACCCTGGGAGTAGTGGATCCAGGAACCTGCCTGATAACATCAGTGACCTCAAAGCTCAGGTGGCTGCTAACCACAGGGTAGGCTCTTCTACTGAGTATAGTTATAGGGTAGACAGAATTTTTTACTGCTGATAACTATAGGGTAGACAGAATTTCTACTGCTGATAACTATAGGGTAGACAGAATTTTTTACTGTTGATTACTGTAGGGTAGACAGAATTTCTACTGCTGATAACTATAGGGTAGACAGAATTTTTTACTGTTGATTACTGTAGGGTAGACAGAATTTCTACTGCTGATAACTATAGGGTAGACAGAATTTTTTACTGTTGATTACTGTAGGGTAGACAGAATTTCTACTGCTGATTACTGTAGGATAGACAGAATTTTTTACTGTTGATAACTGTAGGGTAGAAAGAATTTTTTACTGCTGATAACTATAGGGTAGACAGAATTTTTTTTACTGCTGATAACTATAGGGTAGACAGAATTTCTACTGCTGATTACTGTAGGATAGACAGAATTTTTTACTGTTGATAACTGTAGGGTAGAAAGAATTTTTTACTGCTGATAACTATAGGGTAGACAGAATTTTTTTTACTGCTGATAACTATAGGGTAGACAGAATTTCTACTGCTGATTACTGTAGGATAGACAGAATTTTTTACTGCTGATAACTATAGGGTAGACATAATTTTTTACTGTTGATAACTGTAGGGTAGACAGAATTTTTTACTTTTCATAACTGTAGGGTAGACAGAATTTTTTACTGCTGATAACTGTAGGGTAGACAGAATTGTTTTACTGCTGATAACTGTAGGGTAGACAGAATTTTTTACTGTTGATAACTATAGGGTAGACAGAATTTTTTACTGCTGATAACTGTAGGGTAGACAGAATTTTTTACTTTTCATAACTGTAGGGTAGACAGAATTTTTTACTGCTGATAACTGTAGGGTAGACAGAATTGTTTTACTGCTGATAACTGTAGGGTAGACAGAATTGTTTTACTGCTGATAACTGTAGGGTAGACAGAATTGTTTTACTGCTGATAACTGTAGGGTAGACAGAATTGTTTTACTGCTGATAACTATAGGGTAGACAGAATTTTTTACTGCTGATAACTGTAGGGTAGACAGAATTTTTTACTGCTGATAACTATAGGGTAGACAGAATTTTTTACTGCTGATAACTGTAGGGTAGACAGAATTTTTTACTGCTGATAACTGTAGGGTAGACAGAATTTCTTACTGCTGATAACTATAGGGGAGACAGAATTTCTTACTGCTGATAACTATAGGGTAGACTGAATTTTTTACTGTTGATAACTGTAGGGTAGACAGAATTTTTTACTGCTGATAACTATAGGATAGACAGAATTTTTTAAGGCTGATTACTATTACTATACGGTAGAAAGTATTTTTTTACTACTACTAACTATGGACAGAAATGTTTTACTGCTACCAACTCTAGGGTAGACAGTATTTTCTACTGCTGCAAAAAATGAAGTTTAAACTTTATTTCCAGGGCATCAAGCTGATCACAGAGTTGATCACAGAATATGGCCTTGATGTGGTGCAGGCTTACATGAAGTACATTCAGGTCTGCTGTTATTCTCTTGTCATGTTTCAAAATAACTTGCTCATTACCATTTTAGCTTCTCCATTGAAAGTTTATTTTTTATTCTCCAGGAAAATGCTGAGGTTGCTGTCAAGGAAATGCTTCGAGAAATCGCAAAGAAAACCAAAGAGAGGACGGGCAAGACGGAGCTCTATGCTGAGGACTTTATGGATCACGGCAGCAAAATTTGTCTGTGTGTTCAGATTGATGAAGTAGAGGTCTGGGCAGATTTTTGTCTGTGTGTTCAGATTGATGAAGTAGAGGTCTGGGCGTATTTTTGTCTGTGTGTTCAGATTGATGAAGTAGAGGTCTGTGCGTATTTTTGTCTGTCTGGTCAGATTGTTGAAGTAGAGGTCTAGCTAAATTTTTGTGTGTGGTCAGATTGTTGAAGTAGAGGTCTAGCTAAATATTTGTCTGTGTGGTCAGATTGTTGAAGTAGAGGTCTAGCTAAATATTTGTCTGTGTGGTCAGATTGTTGAAGTAGAGGTCTAGCTAAATATTTGTCTGTGTGGTCAGATTTTTTAAGTAGAGGTCTAGCTAAATTTTTGTCTGTGTGGTCAGATTGTTGAAGTAGAGGTCTAGCTAAATTTTTGTGTGTGGTCAGATTGTTGAAGTAAAGGTCTAGCTAAATTTTTGTCTGTGTGGTCAGCGTGATGAAGTATAACATGAGCTTAAAGAAGCTACCAGAAAAAAAATGGTCAACTGCGTTTCTCTCCCCAGGGCACAGCTGTGTTTGATTTCACAGGGACTGGATACCAAGTCCATGGCAACACTAACGCCCCTAGAGCCATCACCCTGTCTGCCATTATCTACTGCATGAGGTGCATGGTTGGCCATGATGTGCCACTCAACCAGGTACTTGACTCTTCTATTCTTGGTTGGCCATGATGTTCCACTCAACCAGGTACTTGACTCTTCTATTCTTGGTTGGCCATGATGTGCCACTCAACCAGGTACTTGACTCTTCCATTCTTGGTTGGCCATGATGTTCCACTCAACCAGGTACTTGACTCTTCTATTCTTGGTTGGCCATGATGTGCCACTCAACCAGGTACTTGACTCTTCTATTCATGGTTGGCCATGATGTGCCACTCAACCAGGTACTTGACTCTTCTATTCTTGGTTGGCCATGATGTGCCACTCAACCAGGTACTTGACTCTTCCATTCTTGGTTGGCCATGATGTTCCACTCAACCAGGTACTTGACTCTTCTATTCTTGGTTGGCCATGATGTGCCACTCAACCAGGTACTTGACTCTTCTATTCATGGTTGGCCATGATGTGCCACTCAACCAGGTACTTGACTCTTCTTGGTTGGCCATGATGTGCCACTCAACCAGGTACTTGACTCTTCTATTCTTGGTTGGCCATGATGTGCCACTCAACCAGGTACTTGACTCTTCCATTCTTGGTTGGCCATGATGTTCCACTCAACCAGGTACTTGACTCTTCTATTCTTGGTTGGCCATGATGTGCCACTCAACCAGGTACTTGACTCTTCTATTCATGGTTGGCCATGATGTGCCACTCAACCAGGTACTTGACTCTTCTATTCTTGGTTGGCCATGATGTTCCACTCAACCAGGTACTTGACTCTTCTATTCTTGGTTGGCCATGATGTGCCACTCTACCAGGTACTTGACTCTTCTATTCTTGGTTGGCCATGATGTTCCACTCAACCAGGTACTTGACTCTTCTATTCTTGGTTGGCCATGATGTTCCACTCAACCAGGTACTTGACTCTTCCATTCTTGGTTGGCCATGATGTTCCACTCAACCAGGTACTTGACTCTTCTATTCTTGGTTGGCCATGATGTGCCACTCAACCAGGTACTTGACTCTTCTATTCATGGTTGGCCATGATGTGCCACTCAACCAGGTACTTGACTCTTCTATTCATGGTTGGCCATGATGTGCCACTCAACCAGGTACTTGACTCTTCTATTCTTGGTTGGCCATGATGTGCCACTCAACCAGGTACTTGACTCTTCTATTCTTGGTTGGCCATGATGTGCCACTCAACCAGGTACTTGACTCTTCTATTCATGGTTGGCCATGATGTGCCACTCAACCAGGTACTTGACTCTTCTATTCTTGGTTGGCCATGATGTGCCACTCAACCAGGTACTTGACTCTTCTATTCTTGGTTGGCCATGATGTGCCACTCAACCAGGTACTTGACTCTTCCATTCTTGGTTGGCCATGATGTGCCACTCAACCAGGTACTTGATTCTTCTATTCATGGTTGGCCATGATGTGCCACTCAACCAGGTACTTGACTCTTCTATTCATGGTTGGCCATGATGTTCCACTCAACCAGGTACTTGACTCTTCTATTCTTGGTTGGCCATGATGTGCCACTCAACCAGGTACTTGACTCTTCTATTCTTGGTTGGCCATGATGTGCCACTCAACCAGGTACTTGACTCTTCTATTCATGGTTGGCCATGATGTGCCACTCAACCAGGTACTTGACTCTTCTATTCTTGGTTGGCCATGATGTTCCACTCAACCAGGTACTTGACTCTTCTATTCTTGGTTGGCCATGATGTTCCACTCAACCAGGTACTTGACTCTTCCATTCTTGGTTGGCCATGATGTGCCACTCAACCAGGTACTTGACTCTTCTATTCTTGGTTGGCCATGATGTGCCACTCAACCAGGTACTTGACTCTTCCATTCTTGGTTGGCCATGATGTGCCACTCAACCAGAACCAGGTACTTGACTCTTCTATTCATGGTTGGCCATGATGTGCCACTCAACCAGGTACTTGACTCTTCTATTCATGGTTGGCCATGATGTTCCACTCAACCAGGTACTTGACTCTTCCATTCTTGGTTGGCCATGATGTTCCACTCAACCAGGTACTTGACTCTTCTATTCTTGGTTGGCCATGATGTGCCACTCAACCAGGTACTTGACTCTTCTATTCATGGTTGGCCATGATGTGCCACTCAACCAGGTACTTGACTCTTCTATTCTTGGTTGGCCATGATGTGCCACTCAACCAGGTACTTGACTCTTCTATTCATGGTTGGCCATGATGTGCCACTCAACCAGGTACTTGACTCTTCTATTCATGGTTGGCCATGATGTGCCACTCAATCAGGTACTTGACTCTTCTTGGTTGGCCATGATGTGCCACTCAACCAGGTACTTGACTCTTCTTGGTTGGCCATGATGTGCCACTCAACCAGGTACTTGACTCTTCTATTCTTGGTTGGCCATGATGAGCCACTCAACCAGGTACTTGACTCTTCTATTCTTGGTTGGCCATGATGTGCCACTCAACCAGGTACTTGACTCTTCTATTCATGGTTGGCCATGATGTGCCACTCAATCAGGTACTTGACTCTTCTTGGTTGGTCATGATGTGCCACTCAACCAGGTACTTGACTCTTCTTGGTTGGCCATGATGTGCCACTCAACCAGGTACTTGACTCTTCTATTCTTGGTTGGCCATGATGTGCCACTCAACCAGGTACTTGACTCTTCTATTCTTGGTTGGCCATGATGTGCCACTCAACCAGGTACTTGACTCTTCTTGGTTGGCCATGATGTGCCACTCAACCAGGTACTTGACTCTTCTATTCTTGGTTGGCCATGATGTGCCACTCAACCAGGTACTTGACTCTTCTATTCTTGGTTGGCCATGATGAGCCACTCAACCAGGTACTTGACTCTTCTATTCTTGGTTGGCCATGATGTGCCACTCAACCAGGTACTTGACTCTTCTATTCTTGGTTGGCCATGATGTGCCACTCAACCAGGTACTTGACTCTTCTTGGTTGGCCATGATGTGCCACTCAACCAGGTACTTGACTCTTCTATTCTTGGTTGGCCATGATGTGCCACTCAACCAGGTACTTGACTCTTCTATTCTTGGTTGGCCATGATGTGCCACTCAACCAGGTACTTGACTCTTCTATTCATGGTCCCAGGATGGTTGAGATGGAAGACTTGAAGACTGACCTTATTCTGGTGTGTAACTCCAATATAATTGTGCTCAACAGGGATGTCTGGCCCCACTCAAGGTCATCATGCCAAAGGGCAGCATCATTGACCCCTGCGAGTCAGCTGCTGTGGTGGGTGGCAATGTGCTGACGTCACAGAGAATTGTGGATGTTGTCCTTAAAGCCTTTGGTGTGTGCGCAGCATCCCAGGTAAAAGTTTGTTAAATTTTAGCCAAACGTTGACTACATCTCCTCTAGTTTGTTAACTTTTAGCCAAATGTTAACTATATCTCCTCTAGTTTGTTAACTTCTAGCCAAAAGTTGACTATATTTCCTCTAGTTTGTTAACTTTTAGCCAAAAGTTGACTGTATATCTCCTGTAGTTTGTTAACTTTTAGCCAAACGTTAACTATATCTCCTCTAGTTTGTTAACTTCTAGCCAAAAGTTGACTATATTTCCTCTAGTTTGTTAACTTTTAGCCAAACGTTGACTATATCTCCTCTAGTTTGTTAACTTTTAGCCAAACGTTAACTATATCTCCTCTAGTTTGTTAACTTCTAGCCAAAAGTTGACTATATTTCCTCTAGTTTGTTAACTTTTAGCCAAACGTTGACTATATCTCCTCTAGTTTGTTAACTTTTAGCCAAAATTTGACTATATCTCCTCTAGTTTGTTAACTTCTCCTCTACTAAACTATTTCATTCATCTTTTTGATGCCAGCATTTACTGGTAGAGTTTTGCAGACAAAATTTAATTTGTCTTTGCTGTTAAATTATGGGATGGCGTAGCGAGATGGTTGTGTACTCAGATGTCCTGGGTTCACATTCCTGAGTCCACTCATCTCTGATGGGTAACTAGCATAAGTTAAGCGGAAGTCACAGAAACAGGTGAACTCTACTTCATCAGCACTATTGACTGATGTCTGTAAAGTTAACTATTTATTTATACACATGCTGCTTAAAATTTCAATGCTAAATCTAAGCTAACATGAGCGTCACGTGTTGACTGATATCAAAAGTTGACTGATATCAATTGTTGATTGATAGCAATTGTTGACTGATAATTTAAGTTGACTGAAATTGAAACTAAGCTAACATGGCTATCAAATATTGACTGCTATTTAAAGTTGACTGATGTTTAAAGTTGACTGATATTTAAAGTTGACTGATATTTAAAGTTGACTGATATTTAAAGTTGACTGATATTTAAAGTTGACTGATATTTAAAGTTGACTGATATTTAAAGTTGACTGATATTTAAAGTTGACTGATATTTAAAGTTGACTGATATTTAAAGTTGACTGATATTTAAAGTTGACTGATATTTAAAGTTGACTGATATTTAAAGTTGACTGATATTTAAAGTTGACTGATATTTAAAGTTGACTGATATTTAAAGTTGACTGATATTTAAAGTTGACTGATATTTAAAGTTGACTGATATTTAAAGTTGACTGATATTTAAAGTTGACTGATATTTAAAGTTGACTGATATTTAAAGTTGACTGATATTTAAAGTTGACTGATATTTAAAGTTGACTGATATTTAAAGTTGACTGATATTTAAAGTTGACTGATATTTAAAGTTGACTGATATTTAAAGTTGACTGATATTTAAAGTTGACTGATATTTAAAGTTGACTGATATTTAAAGTTGACTGATATTTAAAGTTGACTGATATTTAAAGTTGACTGATATTTAAAGTTGACTGATCTTGAAATCCCCAGGGTTGCATGAACAACATCACATTTGGTGATGAAAAACTTGGCTACTACGAGACTGTGGCTGGGGGAGCTGGGGCGGTAAGTCAACTGTGGCATTGTGGGTAATACATTTCATTGTAAACAACTAGCATTGTGGGTAATACATTTCATTGTAAACAACTAGCATTGTGGGTAATACATTTCAATGTAAACAACTAGCATTGTGGGTAATACATTTCAATGTAAACAACTAGCATTGTGGGTAATACATTTCATTGTAAACAACTAGCATTGTGGGTAATACATTTCAATGTAAACAACTAGCATTGTGGGTAATACATTTCATTGTAAACAACTAGCATTGTGGGTAATACATTTCATTGTAAACAACTAGCATTGTGGGTAATACATTTCAATGTAAACAACTAGCATTGTGGGTAATACATTTCATTGTAAACAACTAGCATTGTGGGTAATACATTTCAATGTAAACAACTAGCATTGTGGGTAATACATTTCATTGTAAACAACTAGCATTGTGGGTAATACATTTCAATGTAAACAACTAGCATTGTGGGTAATACATTTCATTGTAAACAACTAGCATTGTGGGTAATATATTTCATTGTAAACAACTAGCATTGTGGGTAATACATTTCATTGTAAACAACTAGCATTGTGGGTAATATATTTCATTGTAAACAACTAGCATTGTGGGTAAAACATTTCAATGTAAACAACTAGCATTGTGGGTAATACATTTCATTGTAAACAACTGTGGCATTGTGGGTAATACATTTCATTGTAAACAACTAGCATTGTGGGTAATATATTTCATTGTAAACAACTAGCATTGTGGGTAATACATTTCATTGTAAACAACTAGCATTGTGGGTAATATATTTCATTGTAAACAACTAGCATTGTGGGTAATACATTTCAATGTAAACAACTAGCATTGTGGGTAATACATTTCATTGTAAACAACTAGCATTGTGGGTAATACATTTCAATGTAAACAACTAGCATTGTGGGTAAAACATTTCAATGTAAACAACTAGCATTGTGGGTAATACATTTCAATGTAAACAACTAGCATTGTGGGTAATACATTTCATTGTAAACAACTAGCATTGTGGGTAATACATTTCAATGTAAACAACTTGCATTGTGGGTAAAACATTTCAATGTAAACAACTAGCATTGTGGGTAATACATTTCAATGTAAACAACTAGCATTGTGGGTAATACATTTCATTGTAAACAACTAGCATTGTGGGTAATACATTTCAATGTAAACAACTAGCATTGTGGGTAATACATTTCATTGTAAACAACTAGCATTGTGGGTAATATATTTCATTGTAAACAACTAGCATTGTGGGTAATACATTTCATTGTAAACAACTAGCATTGTGGGTAATATATTTCATTGTAAACAACTAGCATTGTGGGTAAAACATTTCAATGTAAACAACTAGCATTGTGGGTAATACATTTCATTGTAAACAACTGTGGCATTGTGGGTAATACATTTCATTGTAAACAACTAGCATTGTGGGTAATATATTTCATTGTAAACAACTAGCATTGTGGGTAATACATTTCATTGTAAACAACTAGCATTGTGGGTAATATATTTCATTGTAAACAACTAGCATTGTGGGTAATACATTTCAATGTAAACAACTAGCATTGTGGGTAATACATTTCATTGTAAACAACTAGCATTGTGGGTAATACATTTCAATGTAAACAACTAGCATTGTGGGTAAAACATTTCAATGTAAACAACTAGCATTGTGGGTAATACATTTCAATGTAAACAACTAGCATTGTGGGTAATACATTTCATTGTAAACAACTAGCATTGTGGGTAATACATTTCAATGTAAACAACTTGCATTGTGGGTAAAACATTTCAATGTAAACAACTAGCATTGTGGGTAATACATTTCAATGTAAACAACTAGCATTGTGGGTAATACATTTCATTGTAAGCAACTAGCATTGTGGGTAATACATTTCATTGTAAACAACTAGCATTGTGGGTAATACATTTCATTGTAAACGACTTGCTTTGTGGGTAATACATTTCAATGTAAACAACTTGCATTGTGGGTAATACATTTCATTGTAAACAACTTGCATTGTGGGTAATACATTTCATTGTAAACAACTAGCATTGTGGGTAATACATTTCATTGTAAACAACTAGCATTGTGGGTAATACATTTCATTGTAAACAACTTGCATTGTGGGTAATACATTTCAATGTAAACAACTAGCATTATGGGTAATTGTTATCACTTAGAATTGTGGGCCTCTTCTTTTCACTGAAATCAAAAGCAAATTAGAATATCACTGGCAGAATTTGTTTATAGTTATTTTAACCCAATTAAAATTATTTACAAATGTAAAAAACAACTGAAATGCTAACGATTGTGTCCAGGGCCCAACTTGGCATGGTAGAAGTGGTGTACACACCCACATGACCAACACAAGAATCACAGACCCTGAAATTGTTGAAAAGAGGTACGCATGCTTGTCTCTGTCTTGCACTGGTCTAACATGCTACAATAGCTAGAGAAATTGGAGGATTCTACTCTTTGATGTTGCTAAAATATTGATAATTACATTTTTTGTGTTGTTAGGTACATTGTTTGTGTTGCTAGGTACATTCTTTGTGTTGCTAGGTGTATTGTTTGTGTTGCTATGTGCATTGTTTGTGTTGCTAGGTACATTGTTTGTGTTGCTAGGTACATTGTCTGTGTTGCTAGGTACATTTTTTGTGTTGCTAGGTACATTTTTTGTGTTGCTAGGTACATTGTTTGTGTTGCTAGGTACATTGTTTGTGTTGCTAAATACATTTTTTGTGTTGCTAGGTACATTTTTTGTGTTGCTATGTACATTTTTTGTGTTGCTAGGTACATTGTTTGTGTTGCTAGGTACATTTATTGTGTTGCTAGGTACATTTTTTGTGTTGCTAGGTACATTATTTGTGTTGCTAGGTACATTTTTTGTGTTGCTAGGTACATTTTTTGTGTTGCTAGGTACATTTTTTTGTGTTGCTAGGTACATTTTTTGTGTTGCTAGGTACATTTTTTTGTGTTGCTAGGTACATTTTTTGTGTTGCTAGGTACATTGTTTGTGTTGCTAGGTACATTATTTGTGTTGCTAGGTACATTTTTTGTGTTGCTAGGTACATTTTTTGTGTTGCTAGGTACATTATTTGTGTTGCTAGGTACACTTTTTATGTTGCTAGGTACATTGCTTATGTTGCTAGGTACATTTTTTGTGTTGCTAGGTATATTGTTTGTGTTGCTAGGTACATTTTTTGTGTTGCTAGGTACATTGTTTGTGTTGCTAGGTACATTTTTTGTGTTGCTAGGTACATTATTTGTGTTGCTAGGTACATTTTTTGTGTTGCTAGGTACATTTTTTTTGTGTTGCTAGGTACATTTTTTGTGTTGCTAGGTACATTTTTTGTGTTGCTAGGTACATTATTTGTGTTGCTAGGTACATTTTTTTTGTTGCTAGGTGCATTTTTTGTGTTGCTAGGTACATTTTTTGTGTTGCTAGGTACATTTTTTGTGTTGCTAGGTACATTTTTTGTGTTGCTAGGTAACTTTTTTGTGTTGCTAGGTACATTTTTTGTGTTGCTATGTACATTTTTTGTGTTGCTAGGTACATTGCTTATGTTGGTAGGTACATTTTTTGTGTTGCTAGGTACATTTTTTGTGTTGCTAGGTATATTGTTTGTGTTGCTAGGTACATTGTTTGTGTTGCTAGGTACATTGTTTGTGTTGCTAGGTACATTTTTTGTGTTGCTAGGTACATTGTTTGTGTTGCTAGGTACATTGTTTGTGTTGCTAGGTACATTATTTGTGTTGCTAGGTACATTGTTTGTGTTGCTAGGTACACTTTTTGTGTTGCTAGGTACATTGTTTGTGTTGCTAGGTACACTTTTTGTGTTGCTAGGTACATTGTTTGTGTTGCTAGGTTCATTGTTTGTGTTGCTAGGTACACTTTTTGTGTTGCTAGGTACATTGTTTGTGTTGCTAGGTACATTGTTTGTGTTGCTAGGTACATTGTTTGTGTTGCTAGGTACATTTTTTGTGTTGCTAGGTACATTGTTTGTGTTGCTAGGTACACTTTTTGTGTTGCTAGGTACATTGTTTGTGTTGCTAGGTACATTGTTTGTGTTGCTAGGTACATTATTTGTGTTGCTAGGTACATTGTTTGTGTTGCTAGGTACCCTGTGGTTCTCCAGTGTTTCAAGCTCAACCCTGGATCTGGGGGAGAAGGCCAGTTTAGGGGAGGGGATGGTGTGGTCAGGGAGATGCTGTTCCGGAAACCTTTCACTTTGTCTTTGTTGACTGAGCGCAGGGTGTTTGCCCCCTATGGACTTGAAGGTAAACATTAGGCTTGGCGCCATCTATGTGTAGCACTTGGCGCCATCTATGTGTAGCACTTGGCACCATCTATGTGTAGCACTTGGCACCATCTATGTGTAGCACTTGGCGCCATCTATGTGTAGCACTTGGCACCATCTATGTGTAGCACTTGGCACCATCTATGTGTAGCACTTGGCGCCATCTATGTGTAGCACTTGGCACCATCTATGTGTAGCACTAGGCACCATCTATGTGTAGCACTAGGCACCATCTATGTGTAGCACTTGGCACCATCTATGTGTAGCACTAGGCACCATCTATGTGTAGCACTTGGCACCATCTATGTGTAGCACTTGGCACCATCTATGTGTAGCACTAGGCACCATCTATGTGTAGCACTAGGCACCATCTATGTGTAGCACTTGGCACCATCTATGTGTAGCACTTGGCACCATCTATGTGTAGCACTTGGCACCATCTATGTGTAGCACTTGGCACCATCTATGTGTAGCACTAGGCACCATCTATGTGTAGCACTTGGCGCCATCTATGTGTAGCACTTGGCACCATCTATGTGTAGCACTTGGCACCATCTATGTGTAGCACTTGGCACCATCTATGTGTAGCACTTGGCACCATCTATGTGTAGCACTTGGCGCCATCTATGTGTAGCACTTGGCGCCATCTATGTGTAGCACTTGGCGCCATCTATGTGTAGCACTTGGCGCCATCTATGTGTAGCACTTGGCGCCATCTATGTGTAGCACTTGGCGCCATCTATGTGTCTACAACCTGGTGCCATCCAAATATAAGTTTGTGTCACTGTAAGATTTTAAATGATTGCTGATATTTTTAAAATTGTATCACATGAATGTGATAACAACAGATAAATGATTGCTGTAAATTGTTGGCCATTTCCTGCAGGAGGTCTCCCTGGCAAGTGTGGCCACAACCTGATGTTCTATGCTGATGGCAGGGTCATCGACCTTGGTGGAAAAAGCTCTGTTGTAGTAGGGCCTGGGGTATGTTGTCAGTGTAGTGTTGTAGTAGGGCCTGGGGTATGTTGTCAGTGTAGTGTTGTAGTAGGGCCTGGGGTATGTTGTCAGTGTAGTAGGGCCTGGGGTATGTTGTCAGTGTAGTGTTGTAGTAGGGCCTGGGGTATGTTGTCAGTGTAGTAGGGCCTGGGGTATGTTGTCAGTGTAGTGTTGTAGTAGGGCCTGGGGTATGTTGTCAGTGTAGTAGGGCCTGGGGTATGTTGTCAGTGTAGTAGGGCCTGGGGTATGTTGTCAGTGTAGTAGGGCCTGGGGTATGTTGTCAGTGTAGGTGTAGTGTTGTAGTAGGGCCTGGGGTATGTTGTCAGTGTAGTGTTGTAGTAGGGCCTGGGGTATGTTGTCAGTGTAGGTGTAGTGTTGTAGTAGGGCCTGGGGTATGTTGTCAGTGTAGTGTTGTAGTAGGGCCTGGGGTATATTGTCAGTGTAGTGTTGTAGTAGGGCCTGGGGTATGTTGTCAGTGTAGTGTTGTAGTAGGGCCTGGGGTATGTTGTCAGTGTAGGTGTAGTGTTGTAGTAGGGCCTGGGGTATGTTGTCAGTGTAGTGTTGTAGTAGGGCCTGGGGTATGTTGTCAGTGTAGTGTTGTAGTAGGGCCTGGGGTATGTTGTCAGTGTAGTGTTGTAGTAGGGCCTGGGGTATGTTGTCAGTGTAGTGTTGTAGTAGGGCCTGGGGTATGTTGTCAGTGTAGTGTTGTAGTAGGGCCTGGGGTATGTTGTCAGTGTAGTAGGGCCTGGGGTATGTTGTCAGTGTAGTGTTGTAGTAGGGCCTGGGGTATGTTGTCAGTGTAGTAGGGCCTGGGGTATGTTGTCAGTGTAGTAGGGCCTGGGGTATGTTGTCAGTGTAGTGTTGTAGTAGGGCCTGGGGTATGTTGTCAGTGTAGTGTTGTAGTAGGGCCTGGGGTATGTTGTCAGTGTAGTGTTGTAGTAGGGCCTGGGGTATGTTGTCAGTGTAGTGTTGTAGTAGGGCCTGGGGTATGTTGTCAGTGTAGTAGGGCCTGGGGTATGTTGTCAGTGTAGTGTTGTAGTAGGGCCTGGGGTATGTTGTCAGTGTAGTAGGGCCTGGGGTATGTTGTCAGTGTAGTAGGGCCTGGGGTATGTTGTCAGTGTAGTGTTGTAGTAGGGCCTGGGGTATGTTGTCAGTGTAGTGTTGTAGTAGGGCCTGGGGTATGTTGTCAGTGTAGTGTTGTAGTAGGGCCTGGGGTATGTTGTCAGTGTAGTGTTGTAGTAGGGCCTGGGGTATGTTGTCAGTGTAGTAGGGCCTGGGGTATGTTGTCAGTGTAGTGTTGTAGTAGGGCCTGGGGTATGTTGTCAGTGTAGTAGGGCCTGGGGTATGTTGTCAGTGTAGTAGGGCCTGGGGTATGTTGTCAGTGTAGTGTTGTAGTAGGGCCTGGGGTATGTTGTCAGTGTAGTGTTGTAGTAGGGCCTGGGGTATGTTGTCAGTGTAGTGTTGTAGTAGGGCCTGGGGTATGTTGTCAGTGTAGTGTTGTAGTAGGGCCTGGGGTATGTTGTCAGTGTAGTAGGGCCTGGGGTATGTTGTCAGTGTAGTGTTGTAGTAGGGCCTGGGGTATGTTGTCAGTGTAGTAGGGCCTGGGGTATGTTGTCAGTGTAGTAGGGCCTGGGGTATGTTGTCAGTGTAGTGTTGTAGTAGGGCCTGGGGTATGTTGTCAGTGTAGTGTTGTAGTAGGGCCTGGGGTATGTTGTCAGTGTAGTAGGGCCTGGTGTATGTTGTCAGTGTAGTGTTGTAGTAGGGCCTGGGGTATGTTGTCAGTGTAGTGTTGTAGTAGGGCCTGGGGTATGTTGTCAGTGTAGTGTTGTAGTAGGGCCTGGGGTATGTTGTCAGTGTAGTGTTGTAGTAGGGCCTGGGGTATGTTGTCAGTGTAGTAGGGCCTGGGGTATGTTGTCAGTGTAGTGTTGTAGTAGGGCCTGGGGTATGTTGTCAGTGTAGTGTTGTAGTAGGGCCTGGGGTATGTTGTCAGTGTAGTAGGGCCTGGGGTATGTTGTCAGTGTAGTGTTGTAGTAGGGCCTGGGGTATGTTGTCAGTGTAGTAGGGCCTGGGGTATGTTGTCAGTGTAGTAGGGCCTGGGGTATGTTGTCAGTGTAGTAGGGCCTGGTGTATGTTGTCAGTGTAGTGTTGTAGTAGGGCCTGGGGTATGTTGTCAGTGTAGTGTTGTAGTAGGGCCTGGGGTATGTTGTCAGTGTAGTGTTGTAGTAGGGCCTGGGGTATGTTGTCAGTGTAGTGTTGTAGTAGGGCCTGGGGTATGTTGTCAGTGTAGTGTTGTAGTAGGGCCTGGGGTATGTTGTCAGTGTAGTGTTGTAGTAGGGCCTGGGGTATGTTGTCAGTGTAGTGTTGTAGTAGGGCCTGGGGTATGTTGTCAGTGTAGTGTTGTAGTAGGGCCTGGGGTATGTTGTCAGTGTAGTGTTGTAGTAGGGCCTGGGGTATGTTGTCAGTGTAGTAGGGCCTGGGGCATGTTGTCAGTGTAGTAGGGCCTGGGGTATGTTGTCAGTGTAGTGTTGGCAGTTTAGTTTTGATGATGTTGTAGTTGTATTAGCTCAGATTATTAAAGCTAGTAATCACATGATCAAAGTAAATCATGAAAACAAAATTGTTAAGAAGTTGAGTATAATTATTTGTTTTACAAATTTTTATTTTATTTTGTTCTTGAATCCATTTGCTGACAGTTGGCTTTGTTTATTTGACCACAGGATGTGTTTTACTTAGAAACTCCAGGTGGGGGAGGATTTGGTCAGCCAGGCTCATCTGCTAACTCAGTCAACAAAACAAGGGGTCAGCGCTTTATCCAGTCCGGCAGTTTATTTAGCTACAGGCTGTTGCAAGAGTCAGCTTGAAGCTTTATTGTGTTAGTCTGTGTCATGTGGTAATCTCTCACTGATTGTGTTTAAATGTTTTCTGTTATCTGTACTGACTTCTCTGTTATCTGTACTGATTATGTTTAAATGTTATCTGTACTTGCTGTTTAAATATTCTGTTATCTGTACTGACTGTTTAACTATTCTGTTATCTGTACTGATTATGTTTAAATGTTATCTGTACTTACTGTTTAAATATTCTGTTATCTGTACTGACTGTTTAACTATTCTGTTATCTGTACTGATTGTGTTTAAAAATTCTGTTATCTGTACTGAATGTTTAAATATTCACTGTTATCTGTACTGATATTCTGTTATGATATCTGTGTTTATTTATTATACAGAGCTGTTCTTAAACTTTCAGACTGAATAACTTTCATCCTCCCATTTTATGTTAACTTCTGTTGGCCTTTTTTGTTTTGTAGTCTGGCCTTTAAGGATCAAGTTTTTATTTCATCCAATTATTTTTGTATTCAGATGTTTTCAACTTCCAATCCTTGGTGTAAACAGAACTTGTTATTGATTGGTAAGATGTAGATCTAGAGTAAATTGCCAAATGGTGAACACATCCGAATAGTGAACACATATATTGTCATTAAAATGTGGGGTCCCCTAAAAGGCTAAATGGTTTCTGCGTATTCTAGTTACTAGATATCTACATCAGTAACCGATTTATTTTATGCATTCTCAGTTTGTTTAGACAAATATAGCATAGATTTTAACGATGAGTAGGAAAAGACGCGTACAGCATGGTCCTGAAAAGTGGCTGCCCTGGAAAGCATTAAACAAAAAAAATGAACTAATCAACAAGCTGTGCAGGTCTTTGGAATCCGCTAATTAAAAGGGGAAGAGTCCCATTGTCGGTAATAATAAAACTCTCTTGAGCACCGAGGATGAGAACCAACTGGCCGGATGGCTTTTAGCAGATAGAAGTTTTGGAAAGACGCACGATGAGGTGAGAGAAGCTACAAAAAAGATTCTATCAGAGAGGGATCCATCGGCACAAATGGCTGTACGGCTGTTCAAAAGACATCCGGAGCCCACAACTAGACCCATGTCTCTTGGGTACGGTTGTTCAAGAGACATCCGGAGCCCACAACTAGACCCATGTCTTTTGGGTACAGTTGTTCAAGAGACATCCGGAGCCCACAACTAGACCCATGTCTTTTGGGTACGGTTGTTCAAGAGACATCCAGAGCCCACAACTAGACCCATGTCTCTTGGGTACGGTTGTTCAAGAGACATCCGGAGCCCACAACTAGACCCATGTCTCTTGGGTACAGTTGTTCAAGAGACATCCGGAGCCCACAACTAGACCCATGTCTTTTGGGTACAGTTGTTCAAGAGACATCCAGAGCCCACAACTAGACCCCGTCTCTTGGGTACGGTTGTTCAAGAGACATCCGGAGCCCACAACTAGACCCATGTCTTTTGGGTACGGTTGTTCAAGAGACATCCAGAGCCCACAACTAGACCCATGTCTTTTGGGTACGGTTGTTCAAGAGACATCCGGAGCCCACCACTAGACTCTTGGGTACGGTTGTTCAAGAGACATCCAGAGCCCACAACTAGACCCATGTCTTTTGGGTACAGTTGTTCAAGAGACATCCGGAGCCCACAACTAGACTCTTGGGTACGGTTGTTCAAGAGACATCCGGAGCCCACAACTAGACCCATGTCTTTTGGGTACAGTTGTTCAAGAGACATCCGGAGCCCACAACTAGACTCTTGGGTACGGTTGTTCAAGAGACATCCGGAGCCCACAACTAGACCCATGTCTTTTGGGTACAGTTGTTCAAGAGACATCCGGAGCCCACAACTAGACTCTTGGGTACGGTTGTTCAAGAGACACCCGGAGCCCACAACTAGACCCATGTCTTTTGGGTACAGTTGTTCAAGAGACATCCAGAGCCCACAACTAGACTCTTGGGTACGGTTGTTCAAGAGACATCCAGAGCCCACAACTAGACTCTTGGGTACGGTTGTTCAAGAGACATCCGGAGCCCACAACTAGACCCGTCTCTTGGGTACGGTTGTTCAAGAGACATCCGGAGCCCACAACTAGACCCATGTCTTTTGGGTGCAGTTGTTCAAGAGACATCCAGAGCCCACAACTAGACTCTTGGGTACGGTTGTTCAAGAGACATCCGGAGCCCACAACTAGACCCATGTCTCTTGGGTACGGTTGTTCAAGAGACATCCGGAGCCCACAACTAGACCCGTCTCTTGGGTACGGTTGTTCAAGAGACATCCGGAGCCCACAACTAGACCCATGTCTTTTGGGTACAGTTGTTCAAGAGACATCCGGAGCCCACAACTAGACCCCGTCTCTTGGGTACGGTTGTTCAAGAGACATCCGGAGCCCACAACTAGACCCATGTCTTTTGGGTACAGTTGTTCAAGAGACATCCGGAGCCCACAACTAGACCCATGTCTTTTGGGTACAGTTGTTCAAGAGACATCCAGAGCCCACAACTAGACTCTTGGGTACAGTTGTTCAAGAGACATCCGGAGCCCACAACTAGACTCATGTCTTTTGGGTACGGTTGTTCAAGAGACATCCAGAGCCCACAACTAGACTCTTGGGTACGGTTGTTCAAGAGACATCCAGAGCCCACAACTAGACCCATGTCTTTTGGGTACAGTTGTTCAAGAGACATCCGGAGCCCACAACTAGACCCATGTCTTTTGGGTACGGTTGTTCAAGAGACATCCAGAGCCCACAACTAGACTCTTGGGTACGGTTGTTCAAGAGACATCCAGAGCCCACAACTAGACTCTTGGGTACGGTTGTTCAAGAGACATCCAGAGCCCACAACTAGACTCTTGGGTACAGTTGTTCAAGAGACATCCAGAGCCCACAACTAGACTCTTGGGTACGGTTGTTCAAGAGACATCCGGAGCCCACAACTAGACCCATGTCTCTTGGGTACGGTTGTTCAAGAGACATCCGGAGCCCACAACTAGACCCATGTCTTTTGGGTACGGTTGTTCAAGAGACATCCAGAGCCCACAACTAGACCCATGTCTTTTGGGTACAGTTGTTCAAGAGACATCCGGAGCCCACAACTAGACTCTTGGGTACGGTTGTTCAAGAGACATCCAGAGCCCACAACTAGACTCTTGGGTACAGTTGTTCAAGAGACATCCAGAGCCCACAACTAGACTCTTGGGTACGGTTGTTCAAGAGACATCCGGAGCCCACAACTAGACCCATGTCTTTTGGGTACAGTTGTTCAAGAGACATCCGGAGCCCACAACTAGACCCATGTCTTTTGGGTACAGTTGTTCAAGAGACATCCAGAGCCCACAACTAGACTCTTGGGTACGGTTGTTCAAGAGACATCCAGAGCCCACAACTAGACCCATGTCTTTTGGGTACAGTTGTTCAAGAGACATCCGGAGCCCACAACTAGACTCTTGGGTACGGTTGTTCAAGAGACATCCAGAGCCCACAACTAGACTCTTGGGAACAGTTGTTCAAGAGACATCCAGAGCCCACAACTAGACTCTTGGGTACGGTTGTTCAAGAGACATCCGGAGCCCACAACTAGACCCATGTCTTTTGGGTACAGTTGTTCAAGAGACATCCGGAGCCCACAACTAGACCCATGTCTTTTGGGTACAGTTGTTCAAGAGACATCCAGAGCCCACAACTAGACTCTTGGGTACGGTTGTTCAAGAGACATCCGGAGCCCACAACTAGACCCATGTCTCTTGGGTACGGTTGTTCAAGAGACATCCGGAGCCCACAACTAGACCCATGTCTCTTGGAAAAGAACGTGCACTGGTGACGCCACAAGCCATTGAAAGGTGGTAATCTGAGCTTAAGATGCGTGTGGAAAAGTTGGACCATAATCTGTTGGATAACAAGTGGCATATTTAACGCTGACCAAACAGGTTGTGGGTTTGACGAGAAGGGCAGAAAGGTGGTAGCCTGCAAAGGTGCTAAACATGTGGACTGTGTGTCATCAAACACAGGTCACGGTGTTGGCGTGCGCAGGGCAGTATTTACCACCTCTTCTAATGTGTCCATTCTAAAGAATACCATTAAAAAATCTTTTGGAGCAGCTTCCAGAAGCTCTGCTGCGGGTATGTGATAGTGGATGGATAAATGCAGCTATTTTCACATTTGGATCCGCGACTGCTTTATCTGGAAAAAATATAGAATTTAGAAGAGTGAATTTCAGACTTTTAAAAGTGGAAAATCGCTAGTTTTTGGGCTGGAGTTTTTAAAAGTGCACAAACAGTGTTTCTTTCAGACTTTTTCTCGGGGGGGGGGGGGCGGCACCAGTACAACTGTATGTTTACTATATAAATACCATCACGTTCGGGGTAGGGGTGGGGCGGTAGATCTAGGACCTAGGGTAAAAACTTCAAGGCTACTCAACAACAGTTAACCTAAATTAGTAAATTAAGTTATTATTATTCTTTAAAGCAATAACTCACTGTTATGCCAAATGGATAGGACTGCTATTTTAGTAATAATTTAATTGAAAACCATGCAATTAGATCATTAACAAATAACAAGTTTGGAATTTCATATTAATTAATCAATTATCTTAATAATTAAAAGTTTGGGGGGAGTGGGATATGGACAGAGTTTCTTCCAGGCATCTCTTCGGGGGGGCGAAGCCCCCCCCGAAAATTTTTTACCGCCCCCCCCGAACGAAATGAAATTTATATAATTTATATAGAAAATATATACTTTTAACAGTGTCCGCCCCCCCGAAGAAAGTTTACCGCCCCCCCGAAGATTTCAAGTGCCCCCCCGGAGAAAAAAGTCTGGAAGAAACACTGGATATGGAATCTTAGAAAAGTCATTTACTGTAAATTTGGCTAGAAAAAGTTCATTATATTATAAATATTTGCTCAATTGCCTAAAATAGTCATTATAATTTATACAGTAGGCTCCTGCTTATAATGTGGGTACGCATGTTGCATCATTTTATTAATTAGTCACAAACACATGGGTATAAAGTCCTGGAAATTTTCCAAAAGAGTCTGGAATTTCATTTTCTAAATATTGTACGAACCCTGAAATCCCCAAACAAACCAGTACTTCTTCTAGTCATACTTTCGTGTTAAAAACATCACAAACTGTGTGACGATAACAGCATTATCTTGTATTGTCTTCATCCGCATGCAAATTGCAAGCCATATTACTCAACAACTGAATCAGGCATTTTTCAGTGCCATTAAATCTGCCT